GGGGCCCCCTGGGGGTGTGGGTACTCCTGCGTATGTGGTGCGGATAAACTGGATAGAAAAGTACGGAGCCATGCCGATGCTGCCGGCCCGGAAGCAGCCGCTTTGTGGGCTGCTGGGGGGCCCCCGGAGGGGCGGGGGGGGCCCCCAGGGGCCCCTGGGGGGCCCCCAGGGGCCCCTGGGGCCCCTGGGGCCCCTGGGGCCCCTGGGGCCCCTCGGGGGGGCCCCCCAGGGCCCCGGGCTGCTGAAAAGGACTGTGCTGGGGGCCTCCACGGAAGTGGCTGTGGATGAACAGAAGTTCAAAGAAGTGGTTTGCTGCGTGAGGGATTATGTGCAGTTTGGCAGCAGATCTACGGAGCCTTGGAGGCCCCCAGCAGCAGCAGCAGCAGCAGCAGCAGCAGCAGCAGCAGCGGCGGCAGCAGCCGCCGCAGAGCCCTCTCGAAAGAGCCCCCCGAGGCCGCTCAGCAGCAGCAGCAGCAGCAGCTACGCTGCAGCAGCAGCCCCTGCTGCTGCTGCTGCTGCTGCTGCTGAGGGGGCCCCCCTCTCCGTGGCTTCGCTGCTGTCGCTGGCCTCCGCGCAGGTGGCTGCGCGGCGCCAGCAGCAGCAGCAGCAGCAGCAGCAGCAGGCCGGCGCCGCCTCCGCTGCTGCTGCTGCTGCTGCTGCAGCAGCAGCAGCAGCAGCAGCAGCAGGACCCAAGCCCCTGGGCCTCCCCGGGAGGCCTGCTGCAGCAGCAAACCCCTTCATTGGCTATGCAGCAATTCTTCCTTTCCTTTCAGAAGCTCAATTCCACCACGTGCGGCGGCTGCAGCTGAAGGCCCTGAAGAAGGCGGGCAGGGCCCCCAGGGCCCCTGCTGCTGCTGCCAGCAGCAGCAGCAGCAGCAGCAGCAGCAGCAGCAGCAGCAGACAGCCCGGCGCTTGCCGGAGTGTGAAGACTAGCGCGGCAGTGGCGGCCAAACCTGCAGCAGCAGCAGCAGCAGCAGCAGGCAGTGCAGCGACAGCAGCAGCAGCAAAAAAGAAGGCGGGAGCCCACTCAGGAGCAGCAGCGCCTGCAGCAGCAGCAAAGGCAGCAGCAGCAGCAGCAGCACCGAAAGCAGCCCCCGCAGTAAAAGCGTCGTCAGCAGCAGCAGCAGCAGCAGCAGCAGCAGCAGATGCGCGAGGAGGTGACGCGGGTTCTTCAGTGCCCGCCGTGGCAGCCTCAGCTCCTGCAGCAACAGCAGCAGCAGCAGCAGCAGCTCCTGCTGCTGCTGCTGCTGGAAAGGCAGCAGCAGCAGCAGCAGCAGCAGCCAAACCCCCCGCCTGCCGCAGGGCCCCCGTAGTGCCCCCGCCGCTGAAGCGGCTGCGCACTGCAGGGGGGCCCCCCTTGGGGGCCCCAGGGGCCCCCAGGGCCCCCGCAGCAGTGGGGGCCCCCAGGGGCCCCGCGGGGGCCCCCGAGGGGCCCCTGGGGGCCCCCAAACCTGGGGGGGCCCCCCAAAACCCCCTTGCTGCTGCAGCAGCAGCAGCTGCTGGGGCCCCCCAGGCTGCCGGGCGCCCCGGGGCCCCCGGGGGGGCCCCCAGAGGGGGGGCCCCCAAGGGGGGGGCCCCCAGAGAGGGGGCCCCCAAAGGGGGGGCCCCCAAAGGGGGGGCCCCCAAAGGGGGGGCCCCCCTTGAGCCCTGGGGGTCTGAGAAAAGCCGCAGCTTTGAAAATGTCGAACTGACTAGCAGCAGCAAAAGAGCAGCAGAAGAAAAGGGCGGAAGAGAAGAAGGTGGGGGGCCCCCTGGGGGGCCCCCTGCTGCTGCAGCAGGGTAGCCGGGGGCGCGTAGATTTGCTGCTGCTGCTGCTGCTGCTGCTGCTGCTGCTGCTGCTGCTGCTGTGAGTCAGTGACGAGAAGTTGGCCGTAGAGGCAGCGCAGAGCTCACCTGTAGAGGCCCGCAAGCCTAAGCTATTAGCGGCACTGCAGCAGCAGCAGCAGCAGCAGCAGCAGCAGCAGCAGGTGCAGCAACGGCAGAGGCAGCAACGCGGAAACGCGAGCAGCAGCAGCAGCAGCAACGGCAGAACCAGAGCAGCAACCGCAGCAGCAGAGGCAGCAACGAGACGCAGCAACAACAGAACCAGCAGCAGCAGAATCAGAGCACCAACAGCAGCAGAACCAGAGCAGCAACAGCAGCAGCAGCAGCAGAAGCAGCAACAGCAGCAGCAGCAGCAACAGAAGTAGGCAGACTGATAGCGCACAGACAGAAGCAAACCCGGCCATCTCTTAGTTATCTAAGAGTCTTCAGAGGACAAGGCTGCTGCTGCTGCTTTGCTGCTGCTGCTGCTGCTGCTGCCGCTGCTGCTGCTGCTGCTGCTGCTGCGCGCGCTAGGGTGCGCCTTACCTTCCTCTCGGTGGACGTAGCTGCACGTACAGCAGAACTGGCAGCACCAGCAGCAGCAGCAGCAACAGCAGCAGCAGCAGCAGCAGCAGCAGCAGCAGCAGCAAAAGCAGACACGAGCCTGTAGCAGGCCGTCTGCTTCACCGTATAATATTGCATGCTTTAAACATTAAATGGTTTAGGGGCCCCAAAGGGCCCCCATAGGGGGCCCCCGGGGGCCCCCCGGGGGCCCCCCGGGGGCACCCCCGGGTCTCCCAGGGGCCCCCGGGGGCCCCCCGGGGGCCCCCAGGGGGCCCCCTATGGGGGCCCCCAGGCTGGGCGGAAGTCCACACAGCCAGCCAGAGGGCTGGGGCGGCCGGGGCGAGGCAGCTAGCTGTGGCTAGCTAGCTACTTAGCTGGTTTGGCTAGCCAGCTGGGGAGGTAGGTAGTTAGCTAGCTAGCTAGCTGGCTAGCTAGCTGGGTAGCTAGCTAGCTAGCAGTTTAGGGGCAGCGGCCGACGAGCCCCTCTGGCTAGCTAGCGAACTGCCTAGCTGCTGCGTCTAGCTAGCTGGCTAGCTAGCTGGCTAGCTGGGTGGCTAGCCAGCCATTCTCCAGCAGCTAGCCGTCCGTTTGTTGCTATCCAGCTCGCTGGCTAGCCAGCCCACTAGCTAGCCAGCCGGCTAGCCAGGTGGCTAGCTGGCTGGTTTGCAAGCTGTTTGGCTAGCAAGCCAGCTAGCTAGCCAGCTAGCTAGCCAGCTAGCTAGCCAGCTACCTAGCTAGCTAGCTAGCTAGCTAGCTAGCTGGCTGATGACGTGCGTGGGACTTCAGCGTTTTAGGGCGTCGGTCCGTCCTTAAGTCGTCAGAGATTTGCTTCACTCGTTAGTGGCTAGCTAGCTAGCTGGATGGGTAGCTAGTTGCTTAAGTATGTAGCTAGCTGGCTAGCTAGCTAGCTGGATGGGTAGCTAGCTGCTTAAGTATGTAGCTAGCTGGCTAGCTAGCCAGCTGGCTGGCTAGGCAGGTTGTTAGCTAGCTGGATGGGTAGTTAGCTAGCTAGCTAGCTGCCTTCCCGCGTGGGTAGCTAGCTAGCTGGGTAGACGGCTAGCTAGCTAAGTAGCTGAATATCAATAGGTAGCCAGCCAGCCGTCTACACAGCCAGCTAGATAGCTAGCTAGCTACTAGTTATCTAGCAAGCCGGTCAGCTAGCTACCTGGCTAGCTAGCAGCCATAGCTAGTGGCTGCCTAGCAGCTAGCTAGCTAGCTAGCTAGCTAGCTAGCCAACAGCAGTGCCGGCCGCCACCCTGCATGCGCTAATGCCATTTCTTTTGAATCAAACTTCTGTCTTGTGGGCAAATCTGGCTAGCCAGGCCAAGGGCTTCTGACCCAGCTAGCCACAGGAAGTCTCTCCCTGCTGGCTAGCTAGCTAGCTAGCTAGCTAGCTAGCTAGCTGGCTAGCTAGCCAGCTAGCCCCGATGCTGGGCTAGGGCTCACAAATGCAGCTAGCCAGCGAGTGGCGCGCAAGCCTGTCTAGCTGCGCCCACGCTGGGGTTCTCAGCTAGCTAGCTAGCTAGCTGGCTAGTTAGCTAGCTAGCTAGCTAGCTAGCTAACTAGTAGCTAGCTAGCCAGCCAGATGCTAGCTAGTTATATAGCTAGTTCGCCCATTATGGGCTAGCTAGATAGCTATCTAGCTAGCCAACTGGCCAGTTGCTAGCTAGCTAGCCGGCTGCCAGCTAGCTAGCTAGCTGGCTAGCTAGCTGGCTAGCTAGCTTGCTAGCTAGCTTGCTAGCTAGCCTAGTAGGGCTGTCTTTGCAGCTGGCCAGGCCCTACGGGGTCGTAAGGGTCAAGCCCGCCGTCTGGAGGGTTTGCGAAACCCTAAACCCTAAACCCTAAACCCTAAACCCTAAACCCTAAGGTCTTTCTCAGTTGAAAACAACAACAATCGCCGTTAGGTTGTCCTGCGTAAGAGGGAGCACAAAATAAGAAGCAAAACAAAAAGTGAAATAAAATAAAAGGAAATAAAACAAAATTAAATAAACAAAATTAAATTAAATTAAATTAAATTAAACAACAAGAAGGACAGAACTGTGGAGAAGAAGCAGAAAATAAACCAACGAATTAATCTGCCTTTTAAAGGCAAAAGCCAAATAACTAAATAACCAAATAAATAAATAAATAAATAAATAAATAATAAATAAATAACAAATGAATAAATGAATAAATAAATAAATAAATAAATAACAAATAAATAAATAAATAAATAAATAATAAATAAATATAAAAATAAGAATAAATGAATAAAAAGAAACAAACAAATAAATGGAAATAAAAGCGAAAAACGGCCTTTGAAGAGCAAATGCTGGCGAAGTGGAAAGCGAGCGAAAAGGCGAAAAGAGGCCAAAAAGTGGCGGAAAAAAGCGGAAAAAGCAGCAGAATTGAAATGCGGAGGAAACGGAGAAGAAAATAGGGAAAAAAAAGAGAAAAAAGGAGCAGAAAAAGCAGAAAAAAGAAGAAAAAAGAAGAAAAAAGAAGAAAAAAGTCACCTGACTTCCCTTTTCGAAGGCGCGCTTGACGAGGTCGCTCGCGGCCGCCTCGGGGTCGTTCAGCTGCGCGCCGACGGCGTCGACGACTTCCTTGAACGGAACTCAAATTCGAAAATAAATCCAATTTTGGAGTTTTAT